TCGGGGAAGGGGATGCGTCCCCTAAGTCGTATGCTATCCGTCCCCGAAGCTCATTCGGGGAGAGGCCACGCCCACCGAGCTTCGGGGACGCGTCCCCCTACCATTATCGTTGGGGGAAGCATCCCCGAAGGCTAGAGTAGTCGCCGCGGCGCGCACTATTTTCGCTGGAGCACATTATTTTCTTATGGGAATTACATATTATCCTGAAGCTGCGCTTCATTGAAGCGTAAAGAGGATTATGCTGCAAAGCATCGGTGGCGTCGTTGGTGTCTGCGCAAGATGCAATGGATCATATGTCCATGGCTGTGATAACAGCTGCTAATACTGGTTCAGCGCTATGGATAGAGGGGAAAATTCTGTAAAAATCAAGAACCATGTTCCACTCCAACAAACTAGGATCCTGCGCTGAAAAAAAGGTGCATGCGTCTTGTGCAATATACAAATTCATGCGCACCTGTTCACTACGCATCATGTTTAGATAGGATAGAGATTGCATTTATTTACTGATTTTGTAAGTAGAGTACTGTGTTGTTGGAATATCTGCTGTCAATTGAGTATTACAGTTATACAGCTCCTCTCTATATCCTACGTTCATGGGCGTACTAGAAATTAGGGTCACAAAGCGAGCGGTAGGGAAATTGATAAAATTGCAGTTCATAATCGGGAAAAACACGTTCTTGGTATTATCAAACGATAGAATAAAGCACTGAAATGGATTTAAAGAAGAAATAACCTTTCAGAAAAAAAAAACGATCAGTCATATTGTGAGTAGAACATAGTATAAAGAAGGGTCGGCGCAGTGCACCTAAAGTATTCGGAACCATGACAATATTCTCATTTCCGTGCTCATTCATTTCCCCGCTTGCACAAGTACCCACCCTCGAGCTCCCTCCGTCTGTAGAAATGTGATTACTGCGGTAGGGGAGAACTGTTGTACCACGATACCTCTCCACAAAATTTGTATTCATAAATAATATGGATTTATCCTCACATAGTATCCCTTATTGTGTCTCGATCGAATAATAAAACTGAACGCAGCTAACAGGTATTCACTTGTTAAACGCAATTGTATGCGTGGCTTTAAGGTCATTCGAATTTCGCGCTCTATAAGCTCTGCGTCTTCTCTCCCCGAATGAATTTCGGGAGCATAGCATACGCCCTGCTTCGGGGACGTCTGCTTCGGGGATTTTCCCCGAAGCAGAACTCTTCCCCTTCCCCGAAAGCATAGCATACGGCCCCTAGTCTCCGAGCCGCGACCTGGTATGAGCGGGCCATATTCGCTTACCTCACAACCGAAGTTGCGTGCAGTCAATCATCGAGTGGTTTACACTTGAATGAAATGGCACTATGAATTGGGATCGTTGCTTGCCTACGTATTCTTAGGTTCAAATGAACTTCGAAGTCAAAGTGACACGCTGCTGTCGTTCTCCATCTGTGTTGGGATGAGAGCAGGATGAGCAGCAAGAGGAAAAAATTGCAGAGCTGGCGGTGGCACTGGCCAGAAAGTCAAGCTGGTACAGATCCGCGTTCCCACAAACGAACTAATGCCTCTATCTGATCACTTTCGCGGAATCACTGACTCGACACAATGTCCTGAATACAGTCCAACGAAGAGTAGCACAGGAAAGCAAACGAAGACCACGTTTTAATAAATCCTAACAGCGTCCTACTCCTGCTTTTGGCTGCAGTCGTGCCAAGCAGACTTTCCAGGAATGTTCTAGTTTGAATATTCCCATTCTTCGCTAAATTCCGTCGTCGGTCATCGAGCGTCACGTCTGAAGCGACTTCCCCTGCGAGCAACTAATGGTTAGCCCTTAATTTCGATAACAATGAAGATCGCAGCTTCAGCAGAGGTGGCGGGCCTCCAGGAGGTCAGAATTGGCTAGCATACCAGTGACTCCATGCGAAGAACTGCTCCAAGGTGAAGACGACGCTACCAGTTTTGCAGTGCGCGCTACCACTGTCACAAACCAACGCGGCCGCTGCCCATAGAAGTAACAGCTAAGATTCATATTGGAATCCTACCTTAATGAGCTGTGGATGTTTTGGTGGTGACGGCGATTGTGTTAGCGAACAGTTCGACGACGAGCTGGAGGAAACACGCGAGCGTCGAGCTGGAGATGCCGCATTGAAGTTCTGAAAACTTATCGAATACCTTTCTGACCATGGTTACCTTTCTATAAGGCTTATTCTCTCTACACTCTGTTGAGCGCAGAGAAACCTTCAGTCGGACAAATTTCATTTTAGTGCTGACTCGTGAAATTTTTGTTCGACACGCAATTGAGATCTACTCCTATGGCGATCGCGCTTTGCTCATTCAGTTCATAGTATAAACGCGGCTTAATGCAGTTTCAAAAAAATGTCATACCGGAAACAGGTCGATACGCAGTTTGGCGCACACTATGGGAAAAGGAGTCATTTTTATGTGAAAAAGGTGTTGGAGACGGCGACATTGGTGGTGATAAATACGGACGAGCATCACCTTGTCTGAAATGAAGAACATTAGGATAAAAGTTCTGAATAACTACAATAAATTTCTCGTCATTGGCTCTCAGTATTTCGGGGAAAGGGTGCTAACTTAGTTGAGGGGGCCAAATGCTGTCGCAACGCGCGAAATGTTCGCTATCTTCGGTGCAAAATTGTAGCCAATTAGGTGGGTAGGGGATGGGGTAAGGCCAGTCACTGGACAGCCATAGAAAGCTGGAATGTGTAGTTTGCACTATCTCGCTCAGAAGAGAGACTATCTGCCGGCCAGTGATAAAACTGGCGCTCTGAACTACGTTTAGCGCTGGAGAATACGCCAGAGACACTTCCAGCGTGGCCGTATGACGCATGTCGCCGTCAGAGGTCGGGGCCATACTTGCACTTCTGTGTAACAGTGTGATTATGAAGTAGGTACATACGATCGTGCGATCGTACGATCAGAAGGTATCCACCCCATACTCAAACTGCAAACCGAACTGCAAAGTAGGTCCCGCTCCTGACAGCAGCTGTTGCCTCGTGGTCACCTTGGCAGCGACATTTTGATTACCGTATCTTTCTGATTCTGAAATTTTGAGGATTAAAAGCTCAATCACTCAGACTACAAGTCACGGTTCGTTTCCACGCTTGTGAAGCCTGACGGGATAGTCAAATCGATGCGAGGTGCGGCTATGAATGCGCGTCTTCTGATTACCCTTCTTCTACTCTTCATGGGTACCACCAGATCATTGGTTACCATTTTTTGCAGTATACCTTGACACATTGTGAAATAGTGACAATTGCACTGCATCTCTCACCTTAATCACCTAAATATTGAAAAGGAAAAGAAAGAAGAGAAAAGACTTACCTAGCGCAGTGAGCGAAAGCTCGTCGTGATGTCGAAGTTGGATAATGGCTATGGTAAGGGTCCCGATAATGATCCGAATATCCAGTATAGTATGAAGGGTGAGGTGTCATCTGCAAGAATGAAAGCTGATAAATCCAGAAAGGGGTGCGTAGCGTTTCTCCTCCTGGGGTCAGGTCACCTAAAATTGAGACGCCGTTCATTCGCTCGGAGCAAGCTAGGACTAAGCCTAGGCCCAATCATAGGCTTAGGCATAAGCCAATGTGTAAGCATAAGCCTTAACCTAAGTCTAAACCCAAACTTAACCTTAAGCTTCAATGATCGCGCAACTGTGGTGACCTGACCCCAGGAGGAGAAACGCACGTCTCTCGAGAAGGGCAAATTTTTTTTTTTTTTTTTTTTTTTTTTTTTTTTTTTTTTTTTTTTTTTTTTTTTTTTTTTTTTTTTTTTTTTTTTTTTTTTTTTTTTTTTTTTTTTTTTTTTTTTTTTTACATCCCATTCTAATAAACTTTTCATTTTACAAGTTTCAAGATTAGTGAGCCATAGCGAAAGTCCCAGATGAATGCGATTCGAAAAAATAGGAAATTAACCCCCTGAAAATCCTATATGAACAAATTGGCGGACAAGGAGAACTGTGCGACGCTGAGATCCAATAATCAATACAAACCGAAATATTTGAAAATGACGTTATAATGGGCGAGGATAACATAAAAACAAAAAAATTTGGGAAACGCATAAGTTAGTAAGTTTTGTCACCACAACTCGTCAACCAGCGGCTCTAGACTCGTGATCTACGATATTTGAACGATCAATAATCATTCTCTCCATCGCTTTTTTCATGTTCGTACTTATTAACAAAATCCCTAAAAAAGGTAGTAGCAGTAACTAGCTTCCTCTCCAAAGGAATGTGAGCTGGAAAATTCTGGACCTGCAGGAGGCAGACAGATCGTAATTTGCTCTAGGAAAAAGGGAGGCATCGAATTTTTTGAAATCAGCGGTGGATTTTCGTAGAAGGTCAGAAGAAGACTTCAATTAAAAATAAGGAGTTTCCATAATGAAGTGAAAACTCCTTAGAACACCTTCACTATTACCAAGATTCCAGGAATTCAAAACTATGGTGATAAATTCCAACGACAATCAGTAATTCAGGCACAGGGTTTGAATTTTTATTCCCGCACAAGGCCAAACGTTTCTAAATTTGCGTTCCAGACAAGGTAGAAAGCTATGAACGCATAGAAAGAGAGCGAAATGATTATTAGGCCGATGTCAGACTTTGCGAATCGCGCGATTCGCTAGCGTCCGCGGTCGCGTTGCGGTACCAGCCAATTGAGTGATTCACTGGCCGCGACGCGACCGCAGACGCTAGCGAATCGCGCGATTCGCAAAGTCTGACATCGGCCTTAGAGTGTACGCGTCAAGCACCTTTTCTTGTTTGTCACTTTCCGACTTTCATTGCATTCTTTGGCAAATATTCAAAAGCAGGCGTGATAGAAGTGGCGAGATGGCAGAATTATCTACACTGTCTTTACATTTCAATCTCCTGATCTGACAGGAGTGCGGCTACGCTCATAGATTTTTTCGTCGTTCGCCAAGTATGAACGCAGCTTCAGATAAAACATTCGTGAACTGGTGTGGTGTGTCATGAGATAAAAGCAGTCTAGAGTTGTTAATCAAAGAGATGACTGCATTGAACATAGCTCATTATAGACACCCCGCTGGTTTAAAATGGTTCTGTGGCGAGGTGACATACCACTGAAAACGGGCTGCGCGCGGCAGGATTATGTCATGTCGCGGCGCTGTACGCCGGTGCCAACGCTGATAGTGCACTTCAGGTTGACCATTAACAGTTCATAATAATTTACTATTTCAGCACTAAAACTTGAAAAAGTGGAAAGCGTGCGATTATGTCTAATAGTAATCTTTCAGTCCCACGCCTACACCGTCGATCTTAAGCAAAGAGAGCAGATCTACAGTACGGCTGATAAAGTAAAGGCTGAAGTTGGCAAGGTGGACATCCTCATCAACAATGCAGGAATCGTTACAGGCGTATAACCATTTAGATGGGATTGGCGACGCCGCAAGCACACAAAACCTTTACCATGGGGATAGGTTGGCTCGCGCCACAATCATAAGCATTCCATGCTCACGTTTTTGAACAAGGGCTCATACGTTGTATATTTCAGGCAAGAAGATCTTTGACTGTCCCGATGAGCTAATGGAACTGACAATGGCTGTGAATACCCATGCTCTATTCTATGTGGTTTTTTAAATATGAAATCGAAAGAACATAGAGCTTTTCTACTGAAAATGAAGTGAGTTGGCTCATTTTCAGACAACCAAGGCCTTCGTACCAGCGATGATGGAGGCTAATCATGGCCATGTGGTGACAATCGCATCCATGGCCGGCAAAGTTGGCGTATCCGGACTGGTGAGTTGTGGTCTCTTTTGAACTATATACTCCTGACTCGGATTTTTGAGAGTTGGCATAGAGGAGGGATTCTCAAAGTATCTATTTGGTATTTCGAATCGCTTTCCTTCCGGTGGTAACATTAGACCTACCGCATCCTCATTATGCAACAAATTCGTCTCAAAATTGGGAGTATTTGAAATCGTTGACTGCGCATGGGATAAGTATCGATTAGTTGGGAAAAATCAGATACTCACGTTGAACATCCAATGATGGATTGAAGTAGAGTGTGAAAGCAGTTGCAGGTTTCGCTATAGGCAAGGGCTTGAACCACGGTAAGAATGGAACCCGTTGATAAGAACTGGGACAGTATCCGGAAGTTAATACTAATTACTCGAGTTCTTTGTAGGTCGATTACTGTGCATCGAAGCACGGCGCCATGGGTTTCCACGAATCTTTGGCAGCTGAACTTGCCACACTCGGCAAGCACGGAGTGAAAACGACCGTTGTTTGCCCATACTACATTGATACTGGAATGTTCGATGGAGTTCAAACAAAGTATGTCTCGCAGACATTTCCCCTGACAAAGGTCTTAGTTACTAAGTCGGTGTGCTTTTCAGATCGCCAACATTACTGCCAGTTCTGCAGCCGGAATACGTCGTTGATTGTATAATGGAAGCCGTTCTCACTGAGAAGGAACTCATCGCAATGCCTCGTTTCGGCTACGTTGTTATGTTCTTTCGGCGGGTGAGAATAATGTTCTTATTTTCATAATTTTCGGAAGGGTCGAAGAGTTCCTTACCCAGACTCTTGTTAGGATTTCTTTAATAATTCTAAAATAAACCGGGCTGGAGATCAGAGGTACCAGCCACGTCTGGTCCTTGACGCCAATGTTGACTTCCTGCTCTCAGAAGTATAGGAGCTGGCCTAAAGGCAGATGTCACGATAGACTAGTCTTTGTTAAAAATGAAGATAGAGTTAGCAGTGGTGTAATTGTGGAGGAAAAGTGCGGGGAATGGTCCAAAAGCAGCGAAATTGAGACATTTCCACATGTGCCTTACCATTACTTGCGGGGGCCAGCCAATGAACAAGTTAGCGTATTGCATCCCCTTTAAAGCAACAGTTCAGGGAGGGTCCGAAAATTTCAATGCCACTACTACTGAGGGATACACGAGCCCTAGTGAAGAACATATGCAGTGGAAATAATAAACGAACTTACCTCAGAAACTCAAAAACAGGGTGGAAAGTCCCTCAAACATGGGTGTTCTTGGGGATTTCCCCAATCCCGCCCCCTTGCCGGCCGTCATTGGACGCGTCGGCAATCGTGCTCGTTTTGGGACCACAGGGAAAATTGATTGAAAAATGGAGCGCGTTTACAGCGGGCACGTTCAGACAACTCGTCCAACGTGCGTCTTTATCCATTGCTGAGCGGCAGAGGGAGAGTACCTGTCTAAGACCCTCCCCGACGTTTTTTTCCAGTTTTTCATACATTAATCGTCTGGTTTTCATCTACAACTTCATTATTGGTGGTTTTTTCCCGCGAAACCGTTCCTGAACTGTTGCTTTAATCGTATCAGTGACCATCCGCGGAATGAAGGCTTGGTTGGCCTGGGCGAGACTTTAATCCGAGACTCGTTCCTCAGACCACGCGCATGGAAAGCTGCACCGCTTGTCACTACACCACCTCCGCCCTTCTATAACATAAAGAGTAATATTGAATGATGAACTCAAATGTACGTGAATGTAGAAATGGCCTAACCGATATAATAATAGTAATCAAATTTAGCAGTTTGCTGAAATTCTGAATTACAATTTTCTTTAAGCCAAGTATTTGCAGTTTCCTACCGTCGAGCGTTTTGGCATTCTTGTCAGATTGCCTAGGCGCTAACAAGATGATGGACCATTTTACTGGTCGATTGAAAAAGGACTGACTCATTTAGGTTTCTGAAGTTATAAATGAAAGCAATTTTCCCATGTTGCCCAACACTTCCTCACGCTCCTTATCATTAGTTCTATTTGTCACAATTACTTGTCGTGGGATTAGTGCTTTCTAGGCTACTTCAAGTCGTCTTTGGGGGCGCCGTAGCTTTATAGAAAGATATCTGCTCAATCCGCATGTTTCCCTGCGGTTCTTCAACAGAAAATCATGCCTAGCTTAATATGAAGTGCAATAATGTTTATGTGTGTGCTTGAAATGCAATCGCGATAAAGAATTCTCTACTGCTTTAAAAACGGTTTATGTGTTGTGAGTATTCATAATGGTGTAAATGCCATAGGGCGGATTTTGCGCAAGGGAAAAAGCAAGCAACCCGGCGCCCCGGGCCCCTGTTTGTGCCTCAAGGCAACAAACGCTCATGATTCCAAGGTCAGACAGTTTCCAAGCAGGGTCAACCCTATCGTTGTTACTTTTTGAAAATTTCTTGACAACCCCCCTCCCCAAGGTGGATTTGGTACGACCCCCTCTTTTCCACACCATCATCGTCTCTATGGTTTAATTCTGATACCCCACCAAACTCCGCCCACTTTTACCTATATTTAATTGATGCTTCGGAAACGACGTATTCCCAAAACAGGCTAGATTAGAGCCGCAGACCTGAAAGAAAAGTTCTTATTCTCACTCCTTTCGACAAGGCTCGGCACCGGCGTGCAGGGCAAGCACAGTTCAGATGTGGTGGTGCGACAATCTGAAGGCCTTCGTTTACTGCTGGGGAACGATAGCCTGATAGGAACCTCCTTGACGGTTCAATGTAGGAAATCCTGGAGAGGTAGGCTCGAGTGAGTCCGCAAATTCATTGGTGCCTTAAAGGGGGACTCCACGATCAGAACGAAAGTCGGAGAAGAAGAAACTCATCTAGTGGAGGAACAGGCGGAATTTTTGTGGGTGCGGACCGGCACGCCATTTGCATTGAAGATTATGTCCCCGGCGATCTAACATGACCTTCCTATTGGCCCAAAACGCCCACCAACCAGTGCACTTCGGTGCAGCTTGGCCGATGAATGTGGTGTCGGCCGCCACCTGTGAAATACTGGTTCCTTTAAAAGTTACTGATATCTTAGGTTTTGTATGTGGACCCAAGATTTCGTAAATATGGAGTCAGTGTTCGTATGGAGGGAACAGATGGAAACAAAGAGGTACACTTGACATTTCGCACCTGCCCTTTTCCCCTTGTCTGCATACAAAAACACTGTTAAATCTGTGTGCCAGTTTTTTTTGTACTTATTATTTATTTTATTTTATTTTGTGTCATTGTCAGTTTATACTGTTCCCCCCGCCTGATAAGTGCTTCATAGTGCGTCAATTCCCACACACCTTGTTCAGTAATAAAAATGATTATTCGAAGAAGACTATTTTCTGTATTTCAGATTTTTGCCAACGAGCGCCTTAGCACTACTTTCACGATATTTCGGTTCCAACGAGACCATGGAGACATTCCAGAGGTCGCGCAAAGGCTCAAAATCAATGGAATTAGCTTTATCCTATATGTGACTTGAATTTTTCATGCTTTTTTCTGGTAACAATTTCAACATGTGCAACAATTTCACAACTGCCTTTGATCCAATTCTTTAATTTTGATAGCAATTCTTGATTTTTTTGTGGTGTTTCTTGTTAAGCCATCGTTTCTCTGAACTCATAATTACGGATAAGCGATGAGAAACCTCGAATATTCTGAATCATATCTATATATCAGATTACTCAAGAAGCAGTATATGTGTAAATGTGCATTATCAACAAAGAGAATGTTTTTTAAAAATTCTTTATATGTAATATAATCAGCGTGACGCCTACTAACTGATACTGATTGTTTCGTGAGATATAGAATTTTATTAGAAGTATAAGAGGAAACACATCTGGGACATTTTGTATATAAATCATTTTTTTTCAACTGTTATACTCATCATCAGATCACTGGTGTACAAGGTACAAGGTGGCCACAAATTACGGTAACTAAGTTACACCTATCTCGGAAAACGAGAGGAACATCGTGTGCAGACCGCACACCACAAGTGACGACGGCCAGCAAAAAAAGGCTTTTTCTTTTTTCGTGACCGTCGTCACTTGTGGTGTATGGCCTGCACTCGATGCTCTTCTCCCCTTCCGAAATAGAGGCTAGGTGATCTTAGGAAATGTGTACAACTAAAAATAAGACAAGAGGAAAACAAAATTCATTCACCGGAGCTATCACCGTTCAGAGAAATTGCTGTTCTTTTTTTAGTTAGAAGCGAGGATTTTTTTTGGAGAATACACTGCCTCGGCGTCTATATGGGACGGAATTCGTCTCAGACATTCTGAAGTGGTTCCTTGAGTATGTCAATGTTTCCATGATCTTGTGAGTAGGTGCTCGTCTTCACCACACTCCGTACAAAGTGATCCAGAAGATTTAAGTAGGAGTTTCGGGTGGCCACTTTCAGAATGCAATGATCTGGGAGCAGCCTAGTGGGAGCAGTGAGCAAGTACTTGTTCCGCACTAGGCTGCTCTCAGATCATTGGGCAGGCTGCCAGAGTGCTTTCCTGCTGTTGAATCGAGGAGTGTGGCCGCAAGAAGTTCTTCGGAAAACAAATTTGTTATACCCTCTCATGGACGGCAGCACCCTGTGAGAGGAAAGTTTGCATGTGCGCCATAGGCAAAAAGCTCTTGTTTTTGCACCTGTACGTGTTAAAATTCCACGGGGATCATGGGTAAAGGTTAATTTGCTGGTTGAGAAAAACAATCCGACGGTGTTACTTTGAATGACTATGTACGAATTTTCATAAATTTTATCGTTTCGCTGTGACAATTTTGTACAAAGGTGTTTGCTTGATTCTATGAGATAGATTTGAAGAAAAGATCCTCGGAGTCAAGCATCTATTATGAGAGTCAGGCAGTTTAAAATTTTCTATACAAAACGATCGCAACCAAACAAAGAAATCCCATCGTCACACGGAGCATGGCGCAACTTCATAAACGAAGACGAGATTGACCGGAACTGATTAAACAATATGCAAGGTTACCGTCCTTTGAGATCCTACCAAGAATTCTGCTATAAAGACAAGTTCAAGTGGCGGTCGTATAACTTCGTATAATGTATGCTATACGAAGTTATTACGGTTAAAGTGCATGGCGCGACCTGATAGAATGAACTAGATTCTTTCAGTCATTCGACTGTTGAAAAAAACCAAGGAGTTTGGCTCAAATGGGATGAAAACGAAGCTTGAGTTTTCTTTGCCCTTCTCACCAATAACTAAAGCGTCGAGATGTAGACTCACTTCGTAATAAAAAGAAACTACCATAGACGTCTCATGTCTTTGCTTCTTTGTACACATCCTATGATTCGAATAGCTCCGTTATATCATTCATACACAATGAAGATTGAAAAGGTCCATTGATGCAAGTTTATCCACTAAATGTAGTCATTTTTACACAATATCTTTAGAAAATCAATTTTTCAATTTTTTAAAGTCAGATTCAATATGCACCGAGCTTTTCCTGTGTTCGAAAGTGTGAAAAATCATTTTCTTTCACAGGTACTTTTCGTTTCGGGAAGTATATCTTCCTAGAGGCTTCACTCAGAGTACCGTCATCCTAAGGTGTAATCTGGCAGCGCAACTCGCCGATGAGTGGCGCTGTCGCCGCCCGGGAGCTGACTAAATACTTGCTTTCAAGCAGCTGCATTGATGCTTTATTGCTTTCAAAAGGGTCAATAGGTCTTGCTAACTGGAGGGCTCGCAATCTGCTTCTCGTCAGTCTGACTGCTCGCAGATTACAGAGCACCTTGGCAAATATTAGGTTGTCGGAAAAGTCTTTGCGCATTTTCTTCTTCATCTTGCAAAATCTTTTGGAATCTTTTGAAACATTCACTGTAAAACGCATGTGAGCGGTGGTCAATGCTCTCTCCACAGCATTTCTGTCGTAGCATTTCGCAGCGTTTGAAGCTTGAAAATCGCCTTTCACTGAAGGTATGTTCGACTGCTCCTGCTTTATAAGCCCACAAAGTGCGTCGATTGAAGCGATGCAGCAAGAGGCCTACGTGTGTGATGGACCTCCAGACTATCTTTCACAATGTGGCAATTGTTTGGTTACCGATGTCTAGATACCTGAGAAAAAACCACAAATATGGTCGGCTATTACACTAAATGAAGAGTGTATTCTGAAGGTCGATTGGGAAGGGTTCCTGACGCCATGCACGGGAGCTGCCAGAGCTTTTCTAGTGTTATCAGAGCACAGTGGCCGCTCCTCAAAAAGAAGAGAAATTATGGCAAAACGAGATTTCGTGGTCTGGGTGACAACCGCCTTCAGATGCCTTCAGATTTTGCATGAACATTTTGATTTAGCGCCTGTCTCTCATTTGACCCGATACTTTGTTGGTGGTAACAAGAAGTGGGATCCTCGTAAACCACACGCGAAAGCACGACTGGCTCGGATGCGTAGAACAAAGGATTGCAACGCCGATTCGAGAACTGCAACCTGGGAGGCAACTTTGAAAGCTCATGAGGCTGCAAGCGTTTCGCTCGGGAGAACTGCTGCCAGCAAACCCCACTGCTACCAACGATAACGTTGGAAAATTCATCGGTTCACTAGAATGACCTATGGAAAATCTGGCAAAGTTCACTTTCTCTCTGCAACGCTCGTCGACGAATTACGAAGAAGATCCAGCAAAAGTCTCCAAGCTCCTTATGGGACGATCTGACCCGCCTGGTGTGTTTAGCAAACCTGGACAGACAGACTACCACAAGCTTCCGCTGTTATCGAAGCAATCGAAGGAGAGGTTGCTTGATGATCCGAACATACTCCTATTGGAAAAAAACTTGAAAGATCATCACCCCTCGTCAAAGTGGCTAGATACCTTACTAACAGATGGTGCACCGAAATGTCCCTTGCTCGGTCTAGTATCAAGCTGTATTCCTTTGTAAACAGGCAGTGATGGTGAGCGACCGGTAGTTGAGATCCCCGTCCAGACCATGATAAGGTTCGGCTGCTGTTGCTTGTGGCGAACATTCCTTTCACTCTCACTGACTTCCCTCATCGGCTTCTGGTGGCACCTGCAGCAAATTGAAGATTGTAGGCTCTGCTCCACGTGAGGGGTTTTTGCCCGTCAATACGAGAACGGTGGCGCGACGCCGTTTTTCGCGACCCCCCCCCCCTCCCCCCACATCTCTTCGCTTTTGTCTCTGCTGTGCTCCTCCCGTTCGATTGAGCAGTGGTGCTTATGCAACTTATAATGGACTGTGAGCAGTTGTTATTCGACCACCATCTATGGCTGTGTTTAGAAGCCCCAGCGTTCTGGTCACCTTTTTCGAGCCAACCCAGGTGTTGCAGTCGTTTCTCTTCTTCATGCTTTTCCTGAGATCCAAGATGTCAGAACTTGTGGGGCGGCCACAACAAAGACTACTTTTATTGGTCTTCTCTTTAGTGCACGGTAGGCCGCGGAGCGGTTGAAAATCCAAAGAAGCGCGATGCTCATCACCGGATGTCCGACCTAGCTGTGTGAGAGGTTAGGCACTCTGTTGAAGTTTAGGCGCACCATGAGCCGTGGAATTTGGCATGGTCATTGACAAGAGGATAGAGGATTGAAAGGTCTGCCAATTTCGGAAGAAAAGCTATAAACACCTACAGAATTTGAGCTCAAAATTTGGTGCAATATTTATGGGACACCCTGTACGATCAGTGTTTTATCCTTCCCAGACATGTCTGGTACCAATCAACCGACCCGGAGGAAATGGAAAGGCTTGGTTGGCCCGGACGATGCACGACCCAATTTGGTACGCCTGCCCTCTCATTTGGGGCATGTGTTTTGAGCCATTCTCCAAGTGCTTTATGATACTATCCAATGTTGTTGGCCCATTGCAACGTCTCTGCGCAGTGCAGATGCGCGCTCCAATTCGAAATTTCGCACCATTCGTAAAATTCATTCTCCGCCAATTCGAAAGTGAATTCCGACTCTCTTCAAGCTTTCATTAATATTGTGCATGTATTCAGATCAAGTGGCAGTCCTAGTATTCTCTCAAGTTGAAGCTTGTACAGTCCGATGTTGGACGAGTCTTTTCCTCTCGAAAGATATGAGTATAGTCGGCACTATTCAACTATTACAACCCCAAAATCTCAAAATTTTATTTTTCGTCGAAACATAGGGGTAATTCGGTGCCCTGATTACGAAAATGACATTCATTTTCAACCTGGCGCCAGGTGGCGTCACCTTGTCACGACAGTTGTTTTCACCAAATTCGATGTAAACTTCTGGGTAGGGGTAATTTGGTGTCCCGATTACGAATATTCCACACGACCCGGTCTCTCCAGGTGAATCTCCAAAAAGTAGGGATCTTCGTGAAAACAGACACCGTATTCTTGGCGCTAGCTCCATTTGGCGCCTTATTCTGTCCGTGTGCGCCCTCTAGTGATTAGATCGCGATCAGGACTAACCAGGAAGGTCTTTCAGGGGTGCAAGCTTTTTGAAAACGGTCTTTTGCATGATATAGGGGCAGATGCGGGAACCACAGAACCATGTTAATTTTTCCT